TTCAGGTACTGACCTTTTCATCCATAGATGTGAAAGGCCAGGCACTTGTTTGTCTGTATTTATAGTGGATTTCATAGCACTCCAGTACGTGGACTTCAAAAAATTTGAACTCAGGAAAGGCTGACCTTTACCATCTCACCAATTCCATCCTGAAACTGATATTTGCAATACATATCTATCCATCCAACGTACTTAACCAGAATAGGATTGCCGTAAAATCTTATGTAAAGTGCTTTTAAATTTAAAAAGTATCACCACAATTTCATAAAAGGGACTATGAATTTTTATGATACAGTATGAGGAATCACTCATACCGGTTATATAATGTCACGGGGGTACTGCGGTTGTATCATTCTGGCCTCCCCACTGTCTTCAGTCCTTATTGCAATCACCAGCCTTCAGCACTACCAGTAAACCAGAATCCCAGTCCATCCATCCACCCCAGCATCCCCAATCACATGTCCAGAATAGGGTTGCAAGGGACCAGGAGTGCAGAAATTCAATGCTTTTTTTTTTGTCATCAGGTTCAATCATCAAGACTGATTCCAACAGCTCAAGAGCAGAGAATCGTGCAGGAATATTTTAATATTGTCATAAAAAGTATTTACTGTGGAAATATTTTGTTTTGCCTTTCAGTCAAGTAAGCAATCGGTAAGCAAAGAGTTGGGCAGAAAGTGAGTGCAATCGGGGAGGGGGGGGAGCTGTTTGAGGATTATGGGTAAATGTTGTGAGAGGGAAGCACAGTGATGCGTATTTGGAGGAATAAGGTCCAAATGTAATTTGTACTGCAATGGAAACAAACCAGCCATCATCTTTCAGCAGAAGGAGGGAATAGAATGACGTTTCAGTCTAAGTAAATTACCGAGGCCACCCCAGCGAGTCCCCTTTAGTGTCCTTTCCGGAAAACATGCGGGAGTTTTGCCTGAGCAGTGCTGAAAGTTCGAATTAATAACAGAAAAGATATACAGGGCAAGACATCATTCACCAGCATTACCAGTCCTGACCTGCGTAATAGAAAACCTGGACACTTGAATCTATTCAGAGTCTTTAAACGCATGATACAAAAACGACAGCAAAAAGAGACAAACTGACTCTGGACGGAGTCCCCAGCCTAAATAATTAATTATGCTTCATGTGAACGAGAGTGGAGTGGAGAACATAAGGCTTTGGGAGGTGCTTCTCCTGCATGTGCGAACCTGGAAGTGCAGGCAGAATCAGGTGACATTGGATGGTCACATTTATATGCGGGGGAGGGGGGGGGGTTCTCATTTCAGGAGTCACATGGCTGTGACAAGGATAAGCGGAACACAGAACTCGAAAAGAAAATTATCAGGGAGGGGAAAAAATGAAAAGCAGATAGACTCCAACGGCCTCTGGGAACTGGGTTTAGGACCAGACAGAAAGAATGAGCTAGTTTATGGATTTCCTGTGAATGAGGGACACATGCAATGCGTCCATGGGAATACCATCATGGCGATGACTGTCCACCCCGATAGGACTGCATCCTCATTTCTACTGATCGCACTGCTAACAGCAACGATGAATTTCTGCAAGATCCCCGACAGTTTTAAAAACAGCCCTCCCATAGTTTCATTCTTACAAAAAAAGCAAATAATATATCTATAGAAATATTCCACAGTGGGGGTCTATGTTACGTTTTTCCATGTTCTCATTTAACAAATTTCTTTTCTAACCAGTCCAGGAAATGCAATGTAGAGCGCAAATGCAGTGCATATAAGAAGCACAGTGTCAGGTTACACTGCAAGGTCATCTCACTGCAGCAGCACTGGAGAGACAAAGAGTCAAAATCACTCCTCCTGAGGCAAAGTCTTGAAAAGAGGCTTTGAAATTAGTCATGAAACTAAGGACTAAGGAGACAGGCAGGTAAGTGGATAGAAAAATAATAAGGTATCTATCACAAAGGCACTTCCTCATTACACCCAAGATTGCCGTCATTATCTGAACAGGCGGTGAGAGATTTGGGATGTATTTAAAACTTTTTTTTTTGACAGATCAATCCAGTATAAGACTAATGAACATGAAACTAGACAACCCTAGAAATTACATATTTTCACAAGAGCTTTGACACTATGCATTTTATTTCATAGCAATCAGAAATCTGATGAAATACTAAGCATGACAAAGTAAATATTGATGTGTCCCGGCTCCCAAAATTACTAGTTAAATAGTAAATAAAATAAATAAAACATGCCAATGCAGAAACTTCACCTTGTTAAGAGAAGCTGGTACGAGTGTCCTTTTTATCTGGACAACAGAGTGTGTTAATTACATTGCAGATGAATTAATTAATTCTCTGATTAATCCTGGAACCTGGCATTGACTGGATTAATCTGAAAAGAATAATTTCACACTTAATTCCATGAATGTTGAGTGATTACTTGGCTCCCATTCTGAAATATGTTTGGAGCTTTTCCCCATGCACCATAAGCAAAAAAAGAAAATATCAAAAATATGAATGAAATATGAAAAATATATTTAATTATAATTATTTCTCAGACCTGCATGTGCACTCATAGGAATGTGGGCATGTGCAATTTTACACATGAATGCATGTATGTAGAAGTATGTATGATGGATGGATGGATGGATGGATGTTCATACAACACCGAAAGTAAACATCATATCTTAATGTAAATACAGTGATAAAATTTAAGCATCATTAATAACCATTTTACCCAATCCAGTAAAGATTCAATTTTGTATATACGTTTTCCATAATGAAACAGAAATTTGCATAACAATTTTGAATGAATAATGTCCAATATTGTTTTTTTTTAATTCATAAACAGTTCAAAAGATTTTTTCCCAAATTTTCAGTTAAAAATGTTAATTAAAGGAATTTATAAATTTGTCATGCGTGACAACCAATGAAACATTACGAGCCACGGGTGGCATTCCCCCTAAACGATTAAAATGTTCTGCATAGTAGGTATCTTTGGCCACAACACTGGGCATAGCAAACAAACATGTGCTAATTCTGCACACAATAAATCCTTTATTTATAAGCTTATTTTGGCAGTTCCTCAGGCTGAAAATGTTTTCCATCAGTGAGACTTCAGAATGTGCCCCCCCCCCCCCCCAGTATAAAGTAATGAATTGGCTTAGTTTCAGGTATAGCAGTTCAAACAGCTCCTGGCACTCAAAACATTGGTACTCAGTCGTAATATCAATAGACAATAATTTGTGCCATAACAAGACCTACTCAAGATCAAAGTCCTTTCTAAATAAATCATGCTAAAAGAGCCAAGAGAAATATAGACCCTGTCTTAAAAATACATGAACCTCTTTAGTAAAATGCCTTTTTCCCTCTATTAATATGTATTTATTATAAAAGAGAAAACTTCTCTGGATGGCCTAACCTTACTTCTCTGGATGGCCTAACCTTACATAACCATGGTGTGAATTACTTTTTCTTTTGGCAGGGTAAAGCTTAGCCAATTAAACAATTTCAACATGGTGGGTACCAGAATTTTAGCTATATGAATTATCACAAAACTCACCATTCTGGATTTGAACTGATAGTCATGTAAAGTTTAAGGTGAGTTAACAGAATGGTTGGTTCAATTTGGTGTTTGTCAGTTATGCCATCTTTCAACTGATTGATGGATGCATGGATGGATGGATGGATGGATTGATTGATTGATTGAATGAATGAATGAATGAATGACAACAAAAACCCAGCGACTGGGCAGAAAAGTGGTGATAATCATCAGTTATCAATCTAATTGATAATTACAGAGATTGAGTAATTCCACCAATAAGCTTTTCATTACTCATTACTCTTTACTACCGTTATGTGACTGTATTATAGCAGTGAATCTGTCTGTTATGACATAAAGGAATATGATGGATGGTTTATGTATGTATTGTCCATTAGTCATCAGTTGTAGCTGTGTATTTAAATTTAATCACAGTGGATTATGAGAAATGATAATATGGAGCAGCAGGTAAAGTAACGAGAGAAAGATGTCAGCTAAATTCATTTTAAAACTTCAAAATAATTTACTAGATCTGATTTCTACTAAGCTTTGATTTTTCTAAATAAGCAAATGCTTCGTATACATTAACCACATATTAAGGTTTCGATATATAAACAAGTTGCCCAAAAAGCGCTAATTTGCGACCATTTATAATAAAACGAGAAGCAAACTTCAACTGCCTCAAAAAGAAATTCCTAAGAGCCTATACAATGGCACATTTTATGAATATCTAAAAAAAGCTTGCGGTAATGAGTTGATCTGAGAGACGCCCTCCTGTCGTCAGTTTGACAGTAAGAAATGCCTGATGGGCTATCTGCAGAGCATCCCAAATGGTCCGCAAAAACGGCTTATTTTATACTCTTCCCAGTTAAACTATTAAAAGAACGCGCCCTACTGACCGAATAACTTAGTCATACTTGTCATTTTTATGGCAAATCATTAATGGGTAGTAAAAGACCGGTTTGTAAACTTTATTGGTATACGCATTCCTTCATCTCATAATCCGTCTGGTGGAGAAGCTTCACTCCAGATTATCGCGATTTACAGTAGAAATTGCTGTTTTTACATGACCGAGAGATCTACAGTATCATTCATATAGCCTACACTCAATATCTCCTATATTTCAAATGCGCCAATAATCAGCAAATCCTGTGTATTTATATTTAATGCGTCCGATGTGATTTTCTACTAGTCTTTTTTTTTATAGGACGTTAAATTTGCGGTACAATGGACAGCTCCCCGTTCACAGGACTAGGACACAGGATCTGTCAAACAAAAGTAGGTCCAGATGCGCCTCAGCTTTCTCATGCGCTTTCCATCGCATTGAAATAGAACTTAAACAGCATATTCGCAATTTTGCTAAGTTATTAATACATTATTCATATTGCATTTTTAATAAATAACTCCAGACGCACAGAAGCGATTACAATACACATTGCAATGATTTTGAATAGCAAAACGGGAAATCGGCATATAGGAGGTATCTGGAAGTGAACTTACGTGTGGTGTTGTATTTCACTCCGTTAATGTACTCCGGGCACGGTCTTTCCACCATCCGGCCGCTGGTACTGCGCGGCCAGCATGTCCCGATCTCGTCAGTAGTGGCATTGCAATACAAACCTTGAAACACATGGCAACGTTTAATTGAAATATGTACAAAAGTGATATATTAAGCAGAAGAGGCGATGAAAAACAAGACAGGCGTGAAATAGGTTTAAAGACCCGTACCGTCTATATTCATTAAAGGAAAAGATGCATTTTCGTAGAAAGTGTCCTGAAAAACATCTATGAGGCTACAGTTGGGGTCCCCGAACTCCCCGATGAAGATCTGGAAAATAGCAGAATCCATCGTTTCGGTCGTGAAGTTGTTGGTGGCGCGGCGGACACCTCGTACGATGCCGGAGTTTGAGTCAAATGAGCATAATCCCTTCCCTTCCCTCTCCACATCTCTGTCTACAG